TTCTTTGGGTCGACGCCCTTACCACGCCACTGGGCAGCAAGAACGCTGGCTGGTGGGCATTTTGCTTAGTCAGGTTTGTCTTATTTGGCTTAAGGCCGCCAATGTGATTATTCGCCACCACGGCCGCTTTACACTTTATCGGCCTTTTTTGTTTCTATAAAACATTTAACTAATTAGTTTCGGTGGTAAACTTGTAAAATTAATATAAAATGGTGTAAGAATCCAAAAATGGTAAAACTAGTTTTGTTAGTCTCCTAAAATCATGCTCTACCTATAGTATATTTTGTTCATATAGTGTGGTAATATTTTTGGGAGCTTTATAATTAATTTGTGATACTTAATATTGTAAAAATATAAACTTATAGAAATTGTTGTGATAAATCGGTGATATTGTTGAATCTAAAATTTTTACAGTAGGCTCCTAGCAATATTAGGTATTCGTGGTAATTTTTGTAGCTCTAGAATAATTAGTTTGCTAAATAGATAATGATGCTCTATTTCGAACAAGGACTAAATCGATAGAATGGAATAAAGAAACACCATTGGTTTATATAACTAAAATAATTTGTTGGGAAGTAACGCCTTATCTGACAACGTGTATATGTAGCATAAGTACAATCGTCGTTAGAATTAGCCCGTTAACTTGAGAGGCGTAAATCATATTTTACGAGTCACAATTGTAGTTGATTAATTATGTCTTTGCATCGCATCGCATTGCATATCATATAGGTACGATGATGGATTAGCGGATCAATTGAAGGGTGATTGGGAATCCGAAGATGGTGTAGTGGTATTCTCTCTAGGAGATGATGCAATAGGCTTGTTTTTAGCTGATGGTGGATGATCTGAAGATGCATATACTAACTTTTAATATATGTCTTACCCAGGCAAGCCCCGGTGCATAACCCCTACTTTTCTACAGTTTAAATTATATTTATGCATTAAGTTTTAAGGAGTTGAATGAAACCCACTTGCATATATATCTTTATCCTATGAGTCTTACTAGTATGACAGGATCGTGTAGAATGCTATGCTCCAAGACTCGATAGAAGTCGAGTGATTGCCTGTCACTCGTAAGAGATAGAAAATATATTACTGAATGATTATCACTTGGAAAATATAAATGGTGGAAAGGAAAATGGTGACCGGGCAGGGATATGGTTTGGGTATTGGTTGGTGTAAGAAGTTGTGTCGCCGTGGACGCGGGGCATGGCTTGGTTACACTGCTTTTCTCCTGTCTGTGTCGATTAAGGACCGATCGTTGCATATGACTCTAGGCAGGTCACAGACTTATTATTCCGAGCACACACTTGTCTATAGGCGCTTGGAAGACTTGTTGCTCTCTTGTCACGGATCTAGCTCCTTCCGGACCGACTGTCAGGGTTTCTTTTTGGTGGAGGAGGTCCTTGCACCGCACTGAGTCCGGGACTCGGGGATGGGGACTTGGAGTCCTAGTTTAGAAGGGGACCTGGACACCCGGGATAGGAGGGTGATGGGTTGATCCTGCTTGTGCCTAGGGTACAAGCGGGGCATGTGTTTTCGGGGTACCCAGCTGGGGGCATTGATTCACAAATCGTCGGATGATCCGGTACGGCTTGTCTACGGTTTAGCATCGTAGTAAGAACTGAAAGATGCAAGATGGAAGATGGAAAAAGAAATCTGATTGCTTACCACCTGCTTGAAAGTAGCTCAGGTGTTTACATAGAATGGTTAGTTAATGAACCAATGCGGCTATTAATAAAAATCCAATATAAGGACGCACGCTTAGTAATGCTTCCTGCAAATGCAATAAACCCACAAGCTAGATAGTCTTTCATATCCTTGGAGTCTTTTCTTTTCTCCTGTCGGGTAAGTCTTGCTGAGTACAATTGAGTACTCAGGGTTTTATTCCCCCTGTTGCAGGTGACAAGTGGATGCTAGAGCTGACTCTTGTGTGTGGATACCTCCTGGTGGGCTCAGTGAGGATTCCTTTACGCTGCGATCATAGTCGTTATTTATAACTCTCACTAAATGCTTTTATAAACGAAAGTTTCATAATCTGTTGTCGTAGTTTATATTTCAACACTTCCTCGTGTCATGTTTAGATATTTATTTCCGCTGTAACTCTATTCACATGTTTATATTCTACTGTTTAATTGAATGATTCATAACTCGGATAATATGATTACATTCCGCTGTTGTAATAATAAATATTATACTCTGATATTGTATTAAAAGTGATGTAAGAAATGGTTAAATGATGTAAGCTTTACTCTCTCATTTGTGATCCTGATGGCGAAAATGTGGATTTTTGGGTTCTCCCCTGGGGCGTGCCCGACAGAACCGAGTAATTTAGTGTTCTCCCTTGAGTGCTTAGTGTCTAATGGAAGACAATCATTCCTGTGAGGCAATAGATTAGGCGGTTCTGCCACACCCTTTTTTTAGCGACAGACGAATTGATGCTATACCTATTTTCAGCGACAGATAGTTCGACGTTAAAGATGATTACCTATAGCGACAGACAGTTAATCTCTAAATAGAGAATTAGCTGTCTATGAGTTATCTTTAGCGTCAGATCATCCATCGATAAAAAAAAGTTTTAGCGTCAGATGTCTGACGGTGATATGGTGTTGTGGTGTAGTGTATAAAGAGTAGAAATCTTTGACTAAACGGTTATCGAGTGTCACTAGGTGACATGATTCCATGCATATGCATTAGGGCCTAGTATGCTAACAATTAACCCTTGAAAATACTTGTGAAAAATGCTAACACACGTACACAAGTGGTAAGACACTTTGGTGTTGGCACATAGAAGCAAGGGTGTTGAAAAAAAGAATTTTTCGCGCTGGTCACTGGGTGACCGGACGCGTCCGACCCTGATACCGGACACGTCCGGTATGCTAGACTCGAGCGGTGGCGCAGACGAGATCGGACACGTCCAGAATTGAGACCGAATGCTTCCGGTATTGGACCCCGGTGTGAGAAGCTAAGGCAAGGATGACTGGACGTTGGGATGTGTCCGTTCGCGTTGGATCTGACGCATCAGGTCATGCCCTAGACCTCTCGGTGTAGATGTTCATCGTGTCCGGACTCTGATTGAAACGTTGACCTGACTCTGAGCGGTGCGTCTGGTCAAAGGAGGTGGTGCGCGCGGTTTGCAGTGACTTGACACTAGTGGCGTCTGGTCAGGCACACCGACGTGTCCGGTCGCTCCACGCTGGCTCTGGGAGCTCTCTGGAGTTGACCTAACGCTGCCCAGCGAGCGTGCGATCGTTTTTCTTCGGCGCGTCCGATTGTTCACTGACTTTCGCGTAGAGAGAGCAGTTGGGCGCCAACGGCTATATACGTTTGAATGGGACACGTGGCATTCTAGCAGCGATCGAACATGTCCGGACGCGTCCAGTCAGTTCACAGATAGCTTAGTGAAGGGGTATAACGGCTAGTTGAGTTGTTGGGTCTCTATAAAAGCGTGGTTGCCGGCTCTTGCTCATGCAATACTTGCGCAAGATAAGTGCAAAGATAAGCCATGCATTCATGTAGTGAAAATGTAATATTTATGTCATGACTATATATGTGAGAGATTCAGAACTTGTGATTCGATAACTGCAAAATTAATTGAAACTAAAAAGATATTCGATCGTTATGGATTAGTCTATATGGATATTTATATAACCTATATAGATGGAATCTACAAAGTCATTAACTTCTATTTCTCTGCAACCACATTGATTCACATCGTCTCTATTATGCTTCACCGTTGGATCGTAAGCTTACAATTTCATCTATCCGTACATATGATCCATCGACAACTTAATGACAGCGGCTCGATGATGAAGAAATTGTGTTCCTTTATAACTGTTTGGGAACAAGAAATGAACAGCTAATCGTGTCCACTTAACCCTCCTATCTGAAACTGATGTACCAATCAAAACACCAAACGTTGAAAGTAGGGTCGAGTCCTTTTTATTCACCTGATCACCTCAGTGGTAACTGGTAAGATTTAGAACCGCCGATCCCCCGGAACGAGCAGACAGGGCATCCCACTTCATCCTTGTGAGTCGCGCGGAGCGTGTCTGCGACCTCCATCACTGCCCTGCTGGAATCGTGGTTGATCCCTTCACCGCTCACCGGCGTCGCCGGTCATTGGGTAATGCGGTTGTGTGTAAAAAAATATAAAATTTATTTCATGAATTTCATTTTCTGTCTTCAGGGCAATATCGAGCAAGGGAACGTTTTTTCTGTGCTTCAAGATGAGTTGTACTTCCTCTATCTCCAGAAAGATGATCATGTAAGATTGAAATTTTGTTCCAAAACATATGAGCTATACTACCTTCAAAGTGGGAAGTAAGATTCATACTTATATACAGCACTCCATCCGTTCCAAATTATAAATCATTTTAATTTTCTTGTATATCAATTTTGTTATGTATCTAGATACATAGCAAAAAATTATTGGATTGGAGGCCTTTATGAATGACAAATTCTAAGTGTTTTTTTTAAGAAAATAGAATATGGCATGGTGCTGACTCGTGTTTTTTTGGAAGAAAAAAGATGAAGGCATACAGCCGCAGAAAACTCAGCCCTTGTTTAGTTGCCCGATTTTGGACAACTAAAATCACTGTGCCAGCACTATAGCACATTGTATCGTTTCGTTTGTATTTGTGAATTATTGGCCAATCGTTGACTAATTAGGCTCAAAACGTTCGTCTCGCAAAGTACAACCAAACTGTGTAATTAGTTTTTGATTTCGTCAACATTTAGTACTCCATGTATATACCGCAAATTTGATGTGACGAAAAATCTTCTTTTTACATAATGTCCAAAGTTTGGATTTTGGTGGAAACTAAACGCCCCCTCAATCAATATGCACAACATTACAAGCGAACCAACCAAAACATCTCACGCATGTACAAGTGAAACACCAACCGTGTCACATCAACGGCGAAACGCGCGCCAGGCTGCGGAGTGCCGACCCATCAAACTGACGCGCGCGCGGGGGCAATGCAAAGCCGCGCCGCCGCCTACAAGAAGGCCTTGCGCAGCGCGACTGCGGACGCGACGGTGACCCCGTAGAGGAGGATGAAGATCCCCGTGACGTTGATGAGCTTCATCTCGGCGGTGGAGGCGGCCGCGGCGCTCTTCTCCACGAGCCCCGTCTGCGCGGCGCACACGGCGAGCATGAAGATCGCCAGCCCGGCCATGACGTGCGCGGGGACCGCCGCGGTGCGGGTGTCCACGTGCGCGCCGGGCAGCCAGAAGGTGACGAAGCCGAACAGCCACTGCAGGCCGAAGAGCGCGATGGCGGTGATGCCGAGCCACGAGTGGAGGCTCGTCAGGTCCGGCGCCACCGCCGCGTCGTGGTACTTGAACGCCGCGTACACGCCGAAGATGCCCAGGATGAGCCCCACCAGGTGGATCAGCATGTGCGCCATCTTCTGCGTCCGGTGTTCTACTATATGCGAAGGGATCGTCGAGTATGCCAGGATTGCTGCAAAGATTTGGAATTTCATTGTCAGCACGCCTATATATGTTTGTTTTTTCAGTGTGTGACCAATAACTATCGTTGCATCGATCTGCAACAGCAGCAAATGGCTCCATGACCGGACATCAATCCAGACAAATTTTGTGACCTGATCAGCGATCTTTGGCTGGCTGGCTAGTCTTTTTTTTCCAGCCGAAGCCGTGTTTTTCTCTCACCAAAAACCAGCATAAACAGTAGATCTTTTAGTCGAGCCGAACACTCAGCATGCTTGTAATTATCTTCCCCGGGAAACATAATCATGGTGCAGTTGCTGCTACTCTGATCGTCGTACGTGCTTGGCAGGAAAACGTAGCGATCAGAATTGTCATTATCGGAAAAATCCGACTAGACTGGCGCTAAGACCCGCACCAAACACACTGATTGGCACTTAATGACGACGAGCTTGTCCATTGCTTTTGATGCCACCAAATCCCCCCTACTAGTACTAAGCTACAGCACCTATCGTCAGCAGGTCTAAAGTGCAGACGTGATCGCCTTCTTCTTCACACACAAAAAAAGGAATCACGTGGCCCATTCCGACAAGGACAACTACTGCATCTTGTCATCTTCGTGGGGGGCTAGCTTTCGGCAATGGTTCTGCTCAGCCGTCGTGTCGAATAAACATAAGCAGCCTCTAAAAGTTTCATTCCAGGGCACTTATCATAGATTCAATACTCAAATAATGGCATACTTTAAAGCGATTCCATAATAGTATTAGGTTGGAGTTGTGCATACCTTCCCCAATCAGAAGAATGAACCCCCAGGACATCACAAATGGATGAACCTGCAAATGGTGTGCCACAAAATTAAAGGCGAGGTAAGGTAAACATTTCATGAATAATTATCCTTCAATATTTATATATTTTTCAGCTGATCTTGCATCCGATTTATTAATTGGGAGATGAGCTCCTATTCGTCTCAACAACTGGACAAAGGCGATGAACCTGAAGAGAGGAAATCGATCATAACACATAACACGTACATTGAAAATCTGCTCGGGGTCCTCGGACTGTATGTTGACGCCGCCCCGGTAGTGCAGCAGCCAGACGAGCATGAGCACGGCGGTGGTCAGGAACAGCACGTGCGCGACCATGCCCACGCGCGACGCCAAGATGGAGTGGTGGTGGCTCCCGATGATCCCGTGCGCCATGGCTGCCGCCTGCTACCTAGAGCTCGCGCTAGCTCTCCGCCGCGGCCAAGAAGAAGACACGATCGATCGATCGGTCGGTCGAGTCGTCTGCAGCTCGCAAGCAGCAGCGACGAGGCGGGCCGGAAGAGAGGAGTGGAGGCAGGGGGCTGTTGGGGCTAGTAGTTTGATCTGTAGCTGCAGCCGTTTTTGCATGGGAGCTCTGGTGGTTTTAACGAGCCCACGAGGGCAGGTGACGGTGGCGCCTGCCTTGCCCGGGAATCTGAGGTTACACTGGGATGGTGGTTTTGGGTTTGGTATATCACCCAGCCGGGTGTTTAAGCAAGGCATCGATCGGCCTCTTATGTCCAACAGCTCCTGGCTTTGCAAGAGAGCAAGTAATCTTGGACAATGTGCAGACCAAGACCGTACACATGGCCGTGACATGCATGAACAAACAGTTACTTCTTCTGGGGCTTGGCTGACAAAGCAGAACTACAGAAGTAATCAGGCTACCTTTTTATTCGCATAAATGGTAATAGTGATGGCATGAGATTGCATCGCATATACTCAGCCTGCATGAGATTGCATCGCATATACTCAGCATGTTCGTTTCGGCTGAAACGATCGTGGATTATTATTGTTGGCTGGTTTGGTGTGAGAGAAAAATATTGTTCTGGCTTATAATCCACGATCGTTTACGACCAAACGAACAGGCTGACTACAGGTAATACTAGGTATACGACGTCCGTTCACTCAGACGGTGTCAATGGTGGACCGCGATACCACCTAACCCCACTCATCCATTTGCCCTCATCTCCTACCGTTCTAAAAAAAAGAGAAAAAAACATTTTATCCCTTCCGCTCTCTCCTCTTCACCACATCGCCTTTCCACTGCCACTTTGTCCGTCCCGTCCTGAACGTGGATGCCACTCTGCCTCGCTGTTGCCGCACGCCCCATCCGGCGCCGCTCGATCGCCCCCATCGTGAGCGCTTCTCGCTCCTCCCATCGCGCGCTAGTGCTGGTGGTACTCGCTCCGCTCGTCGCGCTCGCCGCCCGTCCAACCGAGCCAAGAGCGGTGTTGGTGGCAATGGTGGCTGCGCCGCTGGTGCTAGTGCGCCCGCCTGCCCGAGCCAAGCCCGCTTCGGTGGCGGTGGTGCTCGCGCGCTGCCGCTCGTTGCTAGCTTTGACCCGAACGGCTGGAATCGACCGGCCCCGGCCTTCCCCTCCCTTATGTTGCATATGTATGTTTCAATTGTTTCAGGCGTTTTAGATGTTTGTTACAATTGTTTCATTTTGATGTTGCAAAAGTAGATTAGGGGATGTTGCATATGTTGCAAGTGTTTCAGATGCATGTTGCAAGTGTTTGTTCAAAATGTTTTATCTATTTCCAGACGTATGTTGCAATTGTTTTTCATCTGGACGTTGCATATGTTTCACCCACATATGTTGCAATAGTATCTTCTAAAATGTTTTTATATTACAGCAAGTGGTTTCATGTTGCAAGTTACAAATGTTATTTTTTTGCATCTTTCATATGTTCTACACACATGTTGTAAGTGCATATTTCAAGAGTTCCATCTGTTTTTAGACGTACGTTGCATTTAAAAAAAAAATTCATGTTGCAAGTTTTTATGTTGTTGGTAATTTTGGGGCAAGCGGGGGGGGGAAGGAGGATGGTGCGTGTGGCGTGCCAGGGAGGGGGCTGCAGACGGGGCGCTGGGGGTGGGCGGACGGGTGCTCTGGTCAGGGGCACGCTGGGTCCTGGCAGTGCCGCCCGCGCGAGAAAGATTGTACTGTAGTCTGTAGCAGCTTTGTGCATATTCTGCTTTCCGAATTATGCTGCTTGGACTTAGCAATTGAGTTGGACCTCCACACCTGTAGTAAGCATGGTTTGACCAGCAGTCCTTATGGGCCAGACCCATTCTAGACTTTGAAACGGCTTCCTGTTTACTGGGCCGAGAAATTAGTTTCTTTTTTTTTAATGCAAGCTCGACACCCTAAAAAAATGCAAACCCGATCGACCATATTTACTGGGCTCATAAGGAATTTAAAAACGGCTCTAGAAATAGTTCCATGGACAGAATGCACCAGACCTCAATGGACAATGGTGGAGTAGCTCCAAAGACTGCAATTTGACACTTCTACTATCACATTACACTTATACTATATAGAAATGTGCTCCGTTACATAGGTACTTATGTGTGTTTGGTCCATGGCTAAGCATTTGTTCCAGTTGTCCTTTTTAAGTGCAACAAGTCAATTGTGGGCCCGTTTGGTTTGTTGGAACAATTTCGATTATGACATAGTTCGTAAGAATTTGTTCCAAACATAGACATGCCATAGTGTTTCGATCAAGAACCCAGAGAAACAATTCTTTTTTTACACTACGCATATGAAACGGCTTGGGAGTAGTTTCGTCCGATTCATTTCTTACCTCTCTTTTGCACTATGGATTGAATTATTTCCAGTTGTCCTTTTTAAGTGCAACAAGTTAAAATGGGTCGTATTTAAGTTTATCTTCATATGCAAAAGGTTCCAAAATTTTTTGAAGCATTTCTTTTCATTTATTTGATTTTTATGAGAAAAAAACTTTGTGAATTAGAATCTAGCCTACAAGGCAAATAATTTTATAAAGTGATTCTGATTCTAAAAAAATACATTTCATGAGAGAATCTAAATTCAAAATATTTCTATAAAAATCCAGAGCCCTACCAAACGTATTCTATGTCATAGTTTGTTAGTATATTGTTTGATTCTTTACCACAACTCTGTCTACGACTTCATAAACTTGTAGCCCACCTATCATTGATTTATTTCTTTGCCAAATTATACCTAAGATATGACGAATAAATGGTTACCCATGCATTTATCTTCTATACAGTTAAAAATAACAAAACTAAGACAATGCGACAATTTTTGGGTCGTCTCTCTGCCTCCTTCATGCGGTACCGCGATGATCGTTCGAAGGCGCCGGCAGGTGGGACCGAAACGTTCGTGTCGTCGCGGTAATCTCTTCCTTCCATAAAAAATCCGTTGATTTTTCTCCCTTCCGTAAAACCGCTCTCACCTTTTGATCCTTGCCTCTCAACGTTACTTGCCCGTCCCGTCCTCCGGCACCGCCGAGTCCAGCTGAACCCCCACGGAAGCCAGTCGAACCCGGAGGACCACGCCTAGGTCTCGCCACCGCCGCCGCCGCTACCACGACCTCAGGTTAGGCTACAGCGCATGCCCCGCTGCATCGCGGCTGCCCACATCACGCCGCTGCTACCCCACGCCTAGGTCTCCGCCGCCGCCGTCGACGCTAGCTAAGCTACGCATTGCTGGCGTCTCCCTGAATCTCACGCGCTTCTTCGTCTTGCACGCTTGTCACAGGGAAAGCGACGGAATGGTGGGCGAACAAAGCGCAGCACCGCCACCCTCCATCGACGGCAGCGCCGATCCGGCATAGTGGCGCCCCGATCTGGCAGAGCCGATGCAAATCCAGCGGGGACAGGGGAAATCGGATCTTCATGCGGGGGTATTTGCGGCCTCTCTGTTGTCAGCGACGTCAATGCGACTGGGCATTGTCACCGTTGACCTCATCGTCGGAGTCGCAGACATGATGCACAGCATGTACGACGGCCTCGTGGTGCCTTCGGCATCGTCCTCGGTGCTGCGGCCACCTCCATCCTCGTGCCGCCTCAGCCGACGACAACGTGCAGCCGACCTCCAAACATCAACATCAGGTTCACCCTTCCCATGTTACCATCCATTGCAATGGCTTCATTGTCGGGAGTAATGTCGTTCCCTGGTGGTTTTTTCTCCATTGACAGGAAGCACGACTTCACTGACATCGACCTCCATTGGTCACTTTGCATTGACTGCACCGTTGTCTCCTCTTCAATGGATGCATCATCAAGGTGTGTTCAATATTCTTTCAAGTGTTTGTATGAATTAACATGACAGAATAAAGAATTAGCATGCCTAAATATTCAGTCACCAGACGTTTATATGAATTAGTATGACTGAATATTCAGGTGTGTTCGGTTTCTTTCATGTGTGTGCAATGTAGTAGAGGTGCATCCTTTTGTTTCCATCAAATTAGTCTAAGCTGACCTCTTGAATGATTTTTTCTACAAATATTCTAAAAGTTCACCTATTTTTTCATTCTGAATGGGCTAAAAATCCAAACAGCACCAAATTGGTTGACTACTTATTTACAAATTCATATAGCACAAAAACTTGATCTACAGAATGAAACATGATTAGGAAATTAAGTTCACGGTTGAAAAAAAAAAGATCACCAATGCACACTACAAGCTGATATAATCAGGCTACCTGCCATTCATACTTATATTGAATTGGCTTGCCATTTTCGGAGTAGGAGCATTCTGAACTAGCTTTCCATGCCGACATTGCTATGGCTTTCACTAGCCATTTACACCATGCCGACAGAGAGGCCAAAAGAGGTAGAAAGGTCAATCCAACTTTTGAATGTTAATTTTATTTATGTTTGATCCCCTTTGTACCAAAGAAATAACAAAATGACCTATTGAGATCTCAACATCATTACCAAGCTCTGTTATTTCTACCTATGAGCATACTACTGTTGTGATCATATATGAGTATGCTACTGCTGTCAGCATGCTGTTTTTTTTTGTTCATCTATGAGATCATGTCATGTTCAATTTTTGTTATCCTCCATAGGATGTTGCTTCTGTGATCTTGTCTCAGAGAACAAGATATTTTTGTGATCTACTTGGCTCCTTGTGAATTTCTACCTATTATGGAGTAAATCTTGTGGTTACGTCGTTGGTTGCTACACATGCTTTCTTTCATTGTTTGTACTTTGCAGGATAGAACCTAAGAGGCCAAATTTTGTTGATATTTGTTGAACAGAACACTCTATTTGATCATCATCTGTGCATATGATTTGCAATGTTTTCTTTTGAGGACAATAGCATGGCCATTATATTGTGTGTGCCAGCGGAGTCAGCATGCCACCGCCGCGTATGAACTAGAACGTTGGTGCTGCTCAGGA